TTATTAAAAGCTTTAAAATATAATATCACTATTCATATTTATAAAAACAATGTCATATCATACCTAACTATAAAAAAAAAGGTTAGGTTATATTAACTACAATATAAAAATTAAGTAAAGTATGGCTATACTCTATAGACTATAGTAGGTACCTATCTTCTCACTTAGTGGCACGTGGTATATATTATATTTGCAAATGTTGAAACAGCATTCATAATATACTTAAAACAACTACAAGGATATAGGCCAAATTGTGGGACCTCCGGTCAAGGAAAAGAGGAAGGAGGACACCACTTATATTATAGACGGCTATTTACATTATAATATGATATTATGTTATATTATATAGGTAAATATAGTAGCATAGGACCCAAAATGATAATAAAAGTATAAATTTATAGAACATATTTTAGCATGCAAGTTACTAAAAAAATATCGTTGCCTGTAAAAAAAATTGTGATTGTTCAACTCCTTTTGGGTGCAACTTAGCCTAGTATAGGCAATCTTACAATGTGCGAAAATTTGATTTGATGCAATATGCTTGCACCTGATCTGCCATGTATACTAATTTATTAATATTTATTTATTTTTCCTATAAACAATAGCAACCATTTATATATAAAAAATTCAGACCAGGCAAACGTTGTTTTGCAATATAAATTATATCGTCCGAGTTACCACCATGATTTTGCACCTGATCTCCCAGAATAACCAATGGCAACCAATATTAATAAATACTAATTTCTACTAATTATTTCTCCTATATAACCTATAGCCAACATTTATAAACAAAAATGTCCACCGTAAATATCAAAATCCTCGTTTGAGCACCTCCCCGGATGGGTGGTAGGAGGGTGAAAAATACTTAACGACCTATTCTCAGATCTACTCAATATACACACAAAATTTCATAAGAATCGGTCAACCCGTTACGGAGTGTGCGACCACACTAACACTGTAACACGAGAATTTTATATATTAGATAAGCCAGTGGGTATCTACGGGGGGGGTCATATCCCCCCCCGGGAAGGTTATTTTTATTTTTTTATTTAAAACAATTATTTGATAGTTGTATGAAGATTGAACAGCTTACCTAAAACCTAACCTATGAACGAAAACGACAATAATATCATACAGTCAGTGGCGTCATTTCGTTTTTCAAAAGAGGGGGGCAAAAATGTTGACCAGCCCGAATGGGTAAAAAAAAACCGCTCACAACTACATATTATCTGCTTAAATTTGTTTATGGTACCCTTTTTATTAACTAGGTAACATAATTTTTAAATATAAGGTAGCAGATATTTTAGAAAAACAATTGTATACATATATCAGTTAAAAGTCTGCAAACTATTATACGGCAATATTTATATTGATAAACGAAAATATTAGTAGTTTATTAAGATATCTTCTTTTTTTTATTTTTGAAAATATATCAACTGCATTATCTATAAATCAATTTTACCTGATTCATCACTTATAGTCCATACTCTATTACTCTTATATAGGTATACGATATATTTACAAATTGATATTATCTTAAATTAAAATATATTTTTTTTTATTGCTTAGTTATCACCTCAAGTTTTATCTGTGTATTAAACATGCCAGAAATTATTTTCGATTCTTGAGCAGTTTGCGGTAATTTTATATTTTTAGCCACACAACCCATTTATTTTTTTTTAAGTCATATTTCGACCAAATTAAAAAATTAATGTAAACACGCGTCACGAAAAAAATACATTTTAATTTAAGTAGAATAAGGTACTCAGCTTAAATATTAACACATTACCCAGAATAGTTGAATCATATACACGACTGTTGCAATTTAAATGAAGTCCGTGATCAATGATAATTAATAAAAGTTCCAATCGGTTGTTGTTTTTAGAATTTGTATTAATTCTAGATTTTAGAAATTAAACTATACGAGATTATGATACTAATTATTATTATTATTTTTACACATTACAACATGTCTATTAAAATTTTTGTATCCCCCTCCCCTTGAAACAATCCTAGATATACGCTACTGAGATAAGCCAACAGCTAAAACAGTGGCTCAAATATGAGTCAAAGCCCCCTCAAAAAATAATAATATAATATAAATTATAATTAAAAAAAAAAATTTCTTCGGACTTGAGCTTCCCTAAACATTTTTCCTGTTTGCGCCACTGAGCTAATAAACTATAAGGGCAACGGTATCTACAGTCGACTTTACGAACTTTGGTCATAGTACAAAGAACCACGATATTCAACGACATCTGGTACCTACATTTGCTAGATGCTATTGTCGTACACGAATTTTCTCTTATATTTTATAATAAATTATCAAATTTTGATGTTTATGCGGCGTTCCCACGAGGCGTTAATCACGGCAGTCAACCACGCTTTCGGCCCCACGACTGGGTCGTGGTAGAATCAAACATGTTTGATTTTCAGTCGTGAGATACGAACGAAGGTGTCGTGGCGTGGATCACTCCCTAAATTCACGCCTCGTGGGAACGCCGCATTAGAATTTGAAGAATTTTTGATTAACCACCAAAGTTTACGATGATGTTTTCTTTTTTCATCACATGAGTATATGACACAATTGCCTTCAACTATTCAGAAGACGGATCTACAAATTGATTTCAGACAATGTAATTTTAGTATACCTCACCCTCGAATCTTTGTCATTGAGTCTCACGACATCACGTCACTGTAATCAATGTGTTAAATGCATAGACATTAAACTAAATTAATACGGTTCTGGGTGAAGGACGGGTGGATCATAATTTATTTCTAAGGAATGAGGATTAGTTCGTGCTACTGTTACAGTCCTGAGCAGGATAGTTCATCTAATATTGTATATTTACATTTATACCATTATTTGATTATTTTTCTCAACATAACTCGATGGATTGATATTCTGATTTATGAGTTAATGATTTACTATTACTGTTTCGGTCAAATATCAATATTTTTGATTTTTTTGAATTACAATTAAATAACTAAAAACATTTTATTTTTATTTAAATATCCTATTTATAAGACGCCTCTTGTCTTAGATGAGTATTTTTTAAGTTCTATATGTGTACAACTTAAGTGGAAATCCGTATTAAATTTTCATTACTAGGTATATTAATTAAAATTAAAATTGTCATGAATTTTTAAACACAATAACTTTCAATTTTTTATGACTGACAATAATTATTACTAAATATGCTACTAACTAGGTATATTACAATATTTAACAATAAAATGTAATAAGTCACGTACATCTGCAATCGTTAATGGTCATTAGAATTTATTAAAAATAAATTAATTTGGATAGTATAATCAATATTATGAATGAAAAAAAAACAACTATTTAAACCCTTACTCGAATTTAACTTGATTTTTATAATCTTATTAGTTTAATGTGCATTGACATTTTCATACAAACGTGGTCATAATTACAAAACATGGTCATCTAATTTGTTCAATCAGTTAAAAATTTTAAATAGTTATTGCTAAGTGAGGTGCATTAAATGATTATTAATTAATAATATTCGTAATATAGGTGCTATGTTAATAAATAAATCGTATTTAGGCCATAAAAAAAAGTCTAATATGTAAATAAGTACAATGTTTAAATCCATTAATTAATTTACTAAGTTATAAATTTACAATAAATAAACAAAGAAATATATTGTTATATGTTACCTAGTAGTCTGGTTGGCCTTCCAGGAAGACGTCTTGTAGAAGGGTGGTTCTAGCCTAGGTTTAGATGTTTTTGATTTTACAAAGGAGATCTACTTCTGTTTTATTTCTGTAAATTTTGAAGTTTTTATATTGGTTAATTACACATGTTGATTGTTGAGAGGTAGACTGGTATATTATCGATGGCATAGTACACACATGTTGCGAGTGACATTTTTGTAATTGTTCAGGACAATTGTGATTTCATATCACGCAGATCACATGCACTACAACAAACACGCTGACCAGACTAAAATAAATATAATATCTACTATACACTTACAACATTTGTACAGTGTACACAATACGCAAAGAGTTGTTAACAAGAAAACCATGCAAAACAATCATTTTTCTAAATTTTGCATTTACAACATGTTTGCCATCGTTACAAACTTTGCTTACAATATTGTTATTTAAACAGTGGCGGCAATTTTTATCCATTTTCAAGGAGTTAAACATAGGCAACTTAATAGTAATCTCTCAGTGGAAAATTGATAAGACCGCTGACAATTCGCAAAGTTTCGCAAGTATTGTACTATTGTAGTAACCGTAATAGTAGAATATTGAGTTTTATTATACATATTTTATGAGTTGTAAAACGATGTTGTAAACGGCTTGTATAATATTATTTTAGTTTATTTAGCCATTATCGTTTATCATGAACTGTGATATAGATATATTATAATATTTTGAATTTCCAGTATTTTTCAGTTGTCAGTAACAACGTAATATTATGGAAATTAATTGATACCACTTTCGTTTCGGTCAACTTCGGTTCGACTTTCAAGTTTCAACTACAGTCCACTGACCACCGTCGTGCGACAACAACAAACATAATAATATTAATTACTATTATTATTATTATTATTGTAGACCATCACACCGCCACTATCATCGCGGAACAACGCTATCATAGAATATTCAATGCTGTTCGATACCGCGGATTTGGCACCGTAGGACTGCTGCGACGATGACTCATGACGTCGTACCGGCGGCGATTGTGACAGCCGACAACGCCGATTACCGTGCACGATTCACATCGGACTAGTTGGCAAAAATGGATTTCAAGCGAAAAACACGTCAGCGAAAGTCCGTCGTATGACGTCGCGCGTGCGAGCCGCGGCCACAGCGTGCGACTAACCACTAACCGGCGCCCGCGACACCACCGCACAGTAGACAGGTAGGTATGGCCCGCGTCGCTGACCGCCCGGCCGTCGTCTGACCGACCGACCGACCAGTGACCACCGACGTAGCCCGCGTCCGATCGCGTCGACCGCCCACCGATGTTGGCCGGCGGCTACGACATGGCGTGGCCGCTGTTCGTCCTGCTCCTGTGCGCCAACGCGCTGCTGTGCCGGTGCCTGGACAAGGAGGACGTGATATTCGCCGTCAACGCCGGCGGCGACGCGCACGTCGACAGCTACGGCATACTGTACCAGAGAGACTTCAACCGGATCGGCACGGAGTCTGACTACGGCAAGAAGCTGTCCATACAGCGGGTCAAGCCCCACGACCAGATCCTGTACCAGACCGAGAGGTATTCGCAAACCACATTTGGTTACGACATACCCGTCATGCAGGACGGCGACTATGTGATGGTGCTCAAGTTCAGCGAGGTGTACTTCACCAACAGCGGCTTGAAGGTAGGTATCTCCGCCCGCCAACTCCTGGGTGACCCTCACCAAAACGATAAAACAAAACCCGTTATCAAGATGATTTTTTTTTTCTCTAGGTGTTTGATGTCGTTTTGAACGGTCAACACGTAGTGGTACCGCTGTTGGACATCTACGACAAAGTCGGATTTGGCTCCGCTCATGACGAGTACATTGAATTTACGGTAGACGGCACAACGTTATATTGGAGAGGAGAGATATCAGAAATCAAAGGAAATCTCGTTCGAGTGGATTTTATAAAAGTATGACTTCTTGATGCTTCAAAACATTGTATTTAGTTGTTGCCTACAGTACACAAAATATCAAACTCATTTAGTAGTAAAAGAAACATAATATTATATAAGTTTATCTGCCAAGAAAATATATACATTTTATTTGTAGTATAAATATTTATTAATTTGCCGCAATTAAAAGTTAAAGTTTGTGACAATTTTAACTTTTATAGTATCTTAGTAATTCATCATCAGAAAATTTAAGATTGTAAATATGCACAAATGCCTACTAAATAATTCATTGAAAAGATCCCCCATCCTACCGCCGTCAACTAATGACGCAGACATTGTAAATAGTTGTACATATTTAATATTTGTACAACATTTTCATATTTAAACAACTTATGCGTTGGGTTAGACACATTCAATAAAACATTATGCATTAAATTGAAATTTGTGAATATTGTAGTATTTACTAATAATACAACTTATTTTTATATATGATTTTATTAAATTTAACTGTTTTTATATTAGGGTGAAAGAGATAATCCTAAAGTAAATGCAGTACTCGTAGCCAAAGGCCGGATTTCAGGTATTATAGATTAGTTTTCATTATAAGGTATACTGTGTACCAATTGAGCATAATTATAATATGTTCTTTTATGATTTCTATTATTTAATACTTTTTTTCGCTTTTAGATATACCAAGATTACCAGATTTATACTCTGATATTGAACCACAACCACATGATGAGATAGACGTGGAAGAAGATCCGTCTGTTAGTGACAGTAAAGATCCTGTAAAAATGGTACAACACACTAGAAATCCTAGTGGACCTAGAGCACCAGATCCACAAGATGTAAATTCCATGAAGTTAATGCCAATATTTGGCGCTCTGATTGCTTTTTTTGGAGCACTTCTTCTACTTTGCAGACTATGAAGTGTTACATAATAAATATATATTTTTACTATTCTTTCTTTCCTTTTTATTTATATATTACAAGACTACAGTATGTTCAGTATTTTTTTTTTATATTTTAATATTATTAAAGAAAAACAAACATAAATTGCACACATCAAAAAAAAAAAATGTTATGGTTACATAATATAATACTGTTACCTAATTTTTATTAGTTGTACATAAACGTTTTTTCATAGATTTGCTTATTAGGTATTAATATTTATTATAAAAAAAATTTTTTGGAAGCATATTTGTATTTCAAAGGACTGAGCAATTAGATTTGTTAATATTATGCTTAATTTTTAAATTTTTATTTGGGAAGGGGTGTATTGTAGTTTTAAAAGACTGTTTTTATTGTAAATATGTTCAAACGAATGACAACAATAAAATCAATATTGTATTTTAAAAATTAATTGTATTAACTGTCTATAATTTAATTTGTTAAATGGTAACTTGTAATAAAGCAATAGTTAGGTGGTTGTCATTAATTTGCTTTAATGTTATAATGTTATTGCACATGTTATAATTACAAACAGACATTTTATTTCGATCAAATATTATATTTAATATCATATTAAATATAATATGTTAGAAATTAAAAATGATGTAACAGAATACTGTGTAATTGCAAGCTGATATTTTGATTATATTTAAAACAATTAAATGCTGTCTGTACTTTTGGTCCATTTTTTGAAAATTACCAAAACAATATTATTTTTAACATACACATTTTGTATATATAAATAAAAAAAAATATATATAATAAATTAATAAATAAAAACATAGAACATATTATTGGTAACATGAAAAATATTGTATTAATCCCGTCAAAAATAATATATCACAAAAATTTTAAAACATTTACAAGACGCAAAAGACGACTTTTGACTAGATTTCGTAATTTTTAGTCTCGTAGATAATCTACGTGGAATGTTAGTTATAAAATCACTTGTTTGCTAGGAAGATTAAAATAATAATAATAAAATTATGAAACATGATTATTTCACATTCCATAAATATTTGACTAGAGTTAGTTAACTTAACCGTTAAACATTAGCCTAATGGTTATTGCACTATAACAAATTATGTTAGTTTACAAAGAAAAAGTTCCGAGTTAGTGGCTCTCAGCAATTGGTGAGTCGTGCACGCTGATGACACTATCCGTATCAGAATTGGTGGAAAACGGCGTTAGTCTTGTGTATGGGATGGGTCTTTTTCTCGCACTACAAAATAATTGTTAACTGTTATTGGAGATTTAATTGCAGAATTCAAAATATTTGGTGAAAATGGAATTTCGATATTTACCAGCTTGTAAACAAAAAAAACTGCCAAAAATCAAAACTTAACAAATCTAAATAAAAAAAAAAAAAAAATAATAATAATAAAAACACACAAATTATAATATAGCAATGATGCATAAACTTATCTGAAAGCAAAAACATAAGTGTGATGTCACTTGGAATTACAATTCAAAGTGCACAAATGATTTTCACATGTTCGCTTTTCCTACAAGCGATATTTTAAATAAGGTGTCCGTGACGATCTACTACACTGTTCCAAGTGATACGTGAGGATGTACAATAAAATGTGTTGAATAACAAAAATGTACATGAGATAGTTTATTTGATTGTTTTGTACGATTTTGCATTCAACTATATATTTTATTTTTGACAATTAAAAAAAAATGGTAAATAAATAAAAACACGGTAAAAATTGTTTGGGTAAATTCAAATCACACAATTATTTTTTATTGCATAGATAATAGTAATTTATATCTACATGGACATGCATAAATATAATCTACTAGGAAAAAAATAATGATTGTTGTTATAATTAAAAGACAATTTAAGCACATAAGGGTGGCAAAATAAAAATAATCAATAGTCAAAATAAAATTTGTTTTGCTAATGTAATATTGAATTAGCAAAAATAACTTTTTAATAAATTAACGGCTCATCATTTAGATATTATAGGACCAAATGTAATATAATATACACAAAAAATTAAGTTTCTTATGTTTACTTTCAACTGTAATAATTAAATTAAATTAACTGCCCATTTTATTTATTTGTAAAACAATAATTAAGACTTGCCATAAATTTACAAAAAAGTTGTATTTTACACACACTGGACAATATTTATACAAAATACATAAACTGATAGCCTGATACCTGTGTTCCAGTCTCATCATCCAAATCGTGATTCGAGCATAATTTAAAATGAGATAGGAACATAATTTTACTATTTTGTTTGAGAATTTGAGTAAATAAAAATTTAAACATATTATGTTTTATATAGTTTAAACAAACATTTTATGGAATTGTTTAACTCAAGATATATTTAATTAAAAAATGAAATAGGAGGTATAGAACACACACAACATTAAAATTTACCTTGTAATTCGTCTCCGATCCAAAAAACTAGGCGACCCCCGTCGCCTAGGTATAGATGCAGATCGAGACTTTGAACTACGGCTAGACCCAGAGCTGCTTGAGTCCTGGCTAGAACTAGAACTGCGGGAGTAATGACTGCTTGATGAACTACTAGTCGAACGTGAACGGCTTGAACTATAGCGTCTTTTGCTTTTGTAAGATGGTGATGATCTACTACTGCTACTACTATCACTGCTTCTCTGTCTCCGAGATGAACGTTTGCGTTTAGATGTTTTATGCTTACGCCTTGGACTTGATTCTTCACTTGAGGAAACTCGTTTCTTACGTAAACGATCATTTGAGCTAACTGACACCGACCGAGATCGAGATGTACTATCTTTAGTACGACGACGAGATGAGGGTGACTTTTTCTTTGAATATTTATCTTTAGATCGTTTTAATGACTTATAAAGCTCAACACTTGTGTCACTCGCACTGCTGCTACTGCTACTTGAGCGCGAGCGCTTGGATTTCTTTCTAGTATTCACATCACTACAAACAAATAAATTTACTAAATTAGTCATTATTGAAGAGGAATGCACATTTAAAACTAGGCAAGAAAAATTAAAGTGAATAAATTATATTTTTTACCTTATAGTTAATTATTAAATAAATAAATTATATTTATTAAATTTTTACCTTATAGTTAATTATTGAATTAATTAATTATAGATTTTGATGACAAAGAAACATTTAACAAACCTGTTACTAGATGACGAATCTTTAACACGTCTCCGTTTGACACTTTTCTTTTTAACAGGCTCTTCATCCGAACTATCACTTGAACTGGAAGAAGTCCTAACTTTTCGTTTTTTCTCCATTAGTTTTTTTTTAAGATGAAGCAGTGCTTGCTCTTGTTTTTCGTGCAACTCAAATACTTTTTTTATTTTCTCTGTAGTGATTTCTTTAATAATATTTAAATCAATATCTTCTTCTAATCCACCTTCTTCACTTGTACTAGAATCTAAAAATACTTGATCTATTCGATCATTTGTCTTTCGAGATTCAGATATCTTATTTTGATTTTCACTGTTTTGTGATGCTGATATCAAGTCATCGGTACGCCCATTAGACTTGGCTACAACTAAGCTATCTTCACTATCCTCACGCAATGAAAATGTGTATTTAGTACTTTTTAGATTTTTTTCTTCATTAATTTTTGATTGACTCAATTTAGCATTCAAACTCTTGGGAGGTGGTGTGTAACATGACTTGTCACTATCACTATCAGCAGGAATACAGGTTAACTTCTCAGGTTGAAAAGGTTTTTTTCTTAGTTCTTTAATAGGACTTCTTGAATTCCGTTTCCTTGAATTGTATTTTGAGTCTGCTTTATCAGATTTTTTATCATATTTTTCTTTATTTGATTTACTGTCATCACGATGTTGTCTGTATGAATATTTATCATAATCTCTCTCTCTATCCCTATCACGTTCCTTTATTGGTGTTTTATGTCTAGGCGAATTTTCTTGTTTTTTAGATTCATGAACAATGTCTTTAGACTTTGGCTTGTTAGTTTCTTCGGTTATTTTATCTTTTTTCAAGTTTTTGGAGTTTTCTGGTTTGGAATCTTTCTTACGGTAATCCTCACGATCACTTTTATACTTGTATTCTATTTCTTTTGTATCATTCTTAAATGTTTTATCATTATCTCTTTTATGTTTTTTATGGTTATTTTCAGACTCATATTTTTTTTTAGTTTCAGTAGTTATTTTATTAGATTTATCATCATCGTACTTGGATTTAACTTGAGACGAATTCTTGTTGACTTTTACTTCGTCAGTTCTAAAAAAAATAATAGAAAATGTAATCAATAAATACAATTGATCAATTGTAAGATTAGAAAAAAAAAATAAAACCAGAGAAAGCAATGTTATAAAATCAGAAATTGATTATTATTTATTACATCATATTTATTAACTTTAAAATTGATTTTTTAAGAGTACTATTATTCCTAAGTCTATAGTTATATTTTATAGCGCTATACCAGCATTTACTAACTTTGTTTATTGTATTCATAGTATTCTAAAAACACTTTTGTAATAACATGATATTTTTAGTAATTTTTGACAAAAATAAAATTAAGATATTTTTATTTAACTGACTATAGAACTTTGAAAAATGTTAACTTTAAGAAATTAAACCCCTTGATAATATTGTTTAATTTGTGAATAAAACAAGTATTTTTCACCTAACCGTACTTGAAGAATATTTTGTGAAACATCATTAGATACGTTTGATAAAAAATACCAATGCAGCGTATCAAATAATTGAATATGCAAAAGAACAATTTTAATAAATTTATATAAATATTAAAATATATATTTATTTACTAACAAAAATACTACCTTGGACTATCTTCAGATGAAGAGTTATGTTTCTTCTTATGTTTTTTTGATTTTTTCTTATCGCTTCCCTTTTCTCTGTAAAAACAATACATGTATAAATTATTCAATATTAACAACTAAATTAAATGTGTAAAAAATGAATTTTATTAATTACAAAAAAAAAAGTAAAATAGACATAAAAATATTATCCTGCCATTTTTCTGAAAGTTTAAGATAGTTAGAATTTGTAATATTATTTATTTAGCTTAATTCAATATTAGTGTACTGAAAATTAATTTAAATATTTTAAGATTTACCAATGATCAGAAAAATTATAATTTAATCCCAATAGTGTCATATCAAAATGTTTATAACTAACAATATTATTGAATATCTAAAATCAATAATCTGAAATAAAATTATAAAATAATATAGTTTTCTTCATTTTTCATTAGATTAAAAGTAATTGAGGGGAAAAAAATATTATTATATTATATGATAAATAGTTTGAACTTAAGAATAAAATATTCACTCATAAAATATTAATGATGACAAACAAAAGTCTTGAATTTTATTCATATTTTATTTAGATATTCTAGTCATTAGAATATAGTGTATATATAAAAATAAAACAATAATAATTAATTAGCAAAAATGTTTAAACACATTTGAATTGCATAATATTATAATAATAAATTGTCAAATAACCTAAATATGTGTATTAGATTTTGAGCAAAACAAGAAAACTGTTCATTTTTTCTTTTTTTTAGTTATTACTTATCAGCAAATGAATAATATTGTTATAATAATTATTATTTTAGTTTAAGTGAGTATAGCAGAATACAATACTGTATGGAAAATCACACCAAAACAAAAATTATTGTATGGAAAACATAGTAACTTACCACTATTTAGTTTAATATCCTTTAATCAGTTTAACTAAACAGTAATCAACAAATTGCCTAATTAAACAAATAGTTTTCAGTTCATACATCTAAGTGTGTCATAAAAATGCATAAAGCTACTTTTTATAAAATGATGATCAAAGGTTTACTTAGACAATTGTAGTTCTTCTAAACTAAAATTAGATAAAAATACTATTACATAAACAAGATCAAATTTAATCTTTGATCATCAGCTTAGTGGCAAATATATTTTATACTTTTCCATAAATCTAACAAAATGTTCTGATTAATAGTTAAAAAATTAAAGTCTTTAACATACTTGTCACTTTTATGAGATTTTGATTTCTTCTTCTTTCGTTTTTTGTGTTTAGGACTTTTAGACCTTAAATGAAAAAAAAAAATGAATAAATGGTAATACACTTCTGTTAAAAACTTATTAATGTTCCAAATTATATATAAAATATGAATTTAAGTAAGAAAAGTATCATTCTTACTGTAGTTCATTTGCTATACTGCTGTCTTTATTTGTTGAGGTGTCTTCATTCATTTGTGTTTGCACAAGTGCTTGGTCCACCTGCAACGCTTTTAACTGGGCCAGTGCTGCTTCTTTAATTTTTCTTTCTGGATCTAAGCTAGAGCCTTCAATAAAAAATTCTGATATACCAAAAGCATCTCTTAGTCTTGCATTCTTTTTTAACTGTTCATCGGCAAATTGATGAGTATCCCTTACACTGCAATATAAAATAAACATGAATTATTTTAAGATATAAAACAATATAAAAATGAAAATCTTAAAATATGAATATAAACATTTGTACTTCTTAAAATTATCCAATATAATTTTTTAAACCTAACAGATAAGATTATGGCATAATATACAACATTAAAAAAATACCTAATATATTAAATGCATATAACGTTCATATACTATAATATACAACCTACATAATTACTTGTATTTAGCAATCAATTCATATCAGATATCTAATAGTCATATATATAATATATATATAACTAAATATGCTGGGAAAGTATAACTCTCCATAAGCATTAACATTGTTTTTTAGATTTGTTTACTTAAAATACCTTAAAAATGATTTTAAGCTATTAATATTAGCAAACTGCATTCCATTAACGCAAACTGCGTTCAGACATCCCCAAGGCACATGATGAAGGAATAAAGAGCCTTTTGCATTTAAACTTGATATCGAGCCATTTATAGTATGTGTTCTATCCATACAACAATCACAAATATTCTGCTTATTTTTTTTTTTTCGGCGTCGTCTAGACTTTTTTTTCTTGAGATTAACATTTACTTGCTGAATAGATTTTGTTTCAGCCATTATCATAGCATTTGTAGGGTTTTTAAACACAGATCTTAGAGTTTTTTTCCATACCCGCTTGAAACATTGTTGTTCAACATTATTTGGGTTGGACATTTTATTCTTATTAATGTAGTGTAAACCAATTAAGTTAAAATATATTATATACTAAGTTAAATCTTATCACAATTTCAAATATTTGGAAGACTTGATTGAATATTAATTTAATTTATAAATGGAAGACTAAAATATGTATTATTAAAATACTAATATCACATGTAAATATTGGAAGACATAGTTATATATTTAATTTTGATTAGATCATGGTGGCTTATACTGTGGTTCCTTCATGATTTACATAGTTACTTTACAGTATTTTATTATTTTACACTAATTTCATTCATTATAAAACTCAAAGCAAAATAAACACACACAACTTATAAAAAAAAAACACCTTCATGCATATATAAATATATATATCCAGTGACTCATACACTGTTTACCAATGGGTGGTGCTTTTGATGGTGAAGAGGGGTGGGTTGTAGTATTGATCCAAACAGGGATGCAATGTTGGTGGAATAACTCCCTTTATATACAGTGATTACATATTACATTTTTTATTAAAAAATACATTTGATTTGTATTTTGTTTAACACTAATTTGACACTAAATAATAAACATTTTAAATTTAAAGAATCTTATTAAGCAAATAAAAAAAAAAATTAATAGATACCTGTATTTGTAATTATTTCTTTGGTAGAATAATCTAAATAACATTTATCATCAAATTTATAAAACACAAAATTAAACTCAGAGGAACTCTTATATAAATTACTGATTTGTAATAATAATAGACAATATGTTATAATGTTAATACAAAATATTGCATTCATACAGAATAAAATAAAGTTTGACCATTATCAAATTTGTATAATTTATCATACATAGTAAAGCCATAAATACGCATCACTCTAGTACTAACATAGACTACCTTTACGTCAAATAATAATGAGTGTTTAATTAGAATATTATTAAAGTACTAATATCAGTCATTATTATTGAGAGATTATTTTCAAAGAAGATATCATATACAGTAAATATATTACATGCTTGACTATAATATAGAATTATTTATACTTACATAGGTCTACCGCATTCATCATATTCCGTTGTAGTCTTTTGTTTGCCCAATAACGTGACTCTAAAAGTGTTTATCTTTTTGATGATTTCATCTTGAGAAAAACTGTAAAACAAATGTTTAAATGAGGACGAACAATATGTACTCAGGTGCTGGATTTATATCAGCACAATTAATAATATATACCCTTGGTCTTCCAGAGACTGTTCGAGTTCGATGCATTTCAGCTCGACCTTTCGCTTACGGTCGTGATCCAACAGCTCTTGGTTGGGCTGACGATTGGCGGCAGAATCGATCTTGGCCAACTCCTCATCGGTCTTGAATGTCGTCTGGTCTTTGACTTTTTTTATGGCCGCCCAATTCCGTTGTACGTAACCGTTGGTGCCCGATCCACGGGCGGTTGCCAAACCGATTCCGTTGTACATCGTCTGCAAAAAACCAACAAAATGATTTAGGAAACGGACTGGCAGAAACGTACGATCAGCGCAACATAAACACAGTCATTAATTACTGGTGCTAAGCACGGACTAAGTGGAGTCGGTACTCACTATCACGGACGTCTAGTGTGTAATAACACTTTTATCGGGCAATATAATAATAATGAGAGTAAATACGATGGTAATGCCCCACGGCACGCGCATCATAATACACGATTTTAATTTATATATTATTTTGTAATACCGCACCAGCACCACTAGCGCTAAGGTTTTCCAAGACGACGTACTCTCGTACGGTTACAATAATTTGCAGGCCGATTTTTGATAACCGAGTCATCAAGTTGGTAGTGCTCACTATAACAGATAGTACTATCTTAAATCTTGCTGCTCATGGGAGTGATAACAAGTGTCAACTTGTCCGAAAAATGAATAAATTATTCGGTGTTATTACTTATAGTACTTTTACAGTTTTACGGCAATACGACGGTTACTCGGTAGTCGGTACCACGATTTAAGATCTTAAATGAGTTAAATCGTGCTCAGTACTCACTACTCAGTGACCAACTTGGGGGTTGTGGTGGTGTTGCATAATATCAACACAAGGGATATTTTCGATTTTTTTGTCCAAGCTCAGCGCTACTCGCGCTAGTATCTATAGCCGTGTCATTGGCCATTGCTCTAGCAAAATATCATTTTTTTTATATTTTTTTTCTATGCATCCTTCTCTGCCCACTGCCATGACAAGAATCCCAAGCCCTAAGCCCATTGCTAAAATCACAGATAAAGTGGCCAAAGTTTTCTACGACCGTGTGCTGGAATCCCGGAAAAAAAATCCCCAAGGCAACTATTTAAAAGCGGAATGACTATAATACTAAATAAATACTATAATATATAACTTGACTAATTCACTGGACACTGACTGATAAACGTCGAGCCTGAACAATGATAGATCGAGGCTTGAGATAAAAAAGGTTCGCGGGCCGCTAGTTGGGTGGGCCTTGGCATAGAGCAATAAAATGTGAAATTGGGAAAATACAAGTTATAAAATGATTATTTACACGTAATATTTGGTATCTATACGTTATTATAACGGTTACGGTTAGTACATCTTCAGTTCCGATTAAGTAACTTTGATTTGTGTGACTGTGCGAGGGAGGCCGTAATTGTCCGGCTATGGAAATCAATGCGACTATGGAAATCGTTAAATCCTCGGTTAAATCTAATCAAGGGAACTATAAAATTTGCTTAAATGGTTATACTTATGTACACCAAAAAGACTGTAAGTTTTTCAAGAGATGGAGGTGTGCAAAATATAGTTCATTTAAATGTTTAGCTATTTTAAAAACATCGCTTCAAAATAGTAATCTAAGGGAGATCCATGATGAACACAATCATTCTGCCGAAAACTGCCACCAGCTGTGTGGAATGTAAATAAAACCACCCTCAATGACTGCCACAGAACCAACAACATCGTTGAAGGGTGGAATAATAGGTTTTCCAAACTAGTTGGTCAAAAACATCCTACAATATGGAAACTTATTAGGAAAATTAAAAATGAAATTGACGCCGATCGAGCACAGTTAGCATTGGATGCTTTATGTGAACCAAGACGTACAAAAAGAGGAAAAAATCAAACAATAAATATCCGCTTGAAAGAGTTAGTTATAAGACAAAGTGAAGATAAATTAAGCATTGGAGACTTTTTGACAGCTGTGTCTAACAATATAAGAAACTGAACCGAATCTGACTATAATTATATACATTTTTTTTATTATTAATTAACTAACTAATATTATATTATTTTATTTTATTTTCCTAACTAATATACTGTAATATACTAATTAGGTATATTATTATAATTATGTACTTTTTTAAATAGTTGCTTTGGGGATTTTTTTCTAGGGATTTTATTTACCGGGGATTTTTTTTCCGATTACCGTGTGGTGAACGTTGAGTTTTGTAGCGACTAGTAAAATATAATGTAAAACCACATAAAACAAAAATCATCGCAATAATAATGACAGTAGACATTATAGACAACACTGATGACAAAATCTTAATAATAATATAAATAATATTATATAGGAATACAATTAAATATTATAATATTTAATGTTTAATTTCTTTAATACCGACTTTATAAACAATTAACAAATAATAAATAATAATTTTTAATAAAGAAAAAGCGGCAATAGTTATAAAATTTAATAATTCTGTGGCTTGGTGCAAGAAGTGCCAATGCCATATTTTGACGAAATTGAGATTATCGGGCCCAGTGGCGGCTATTTTATACTCAAGTTGTATCCGTCGATACACCTTATAATTGGGTGGGTGGGTGGTAAATTATTGGTTAGGCACTAAATTGTATACCATTGTATACCAGAGTTGGTGGGTGGGTAATTAAATTCAAAATTTGATACACCTTTATTTTGTTTGATAGCCACCACTGATCGGGCCAATCTTTTTGTCTATTCTGATAAAACGGCCAATGTATTAGAAGGTAATTAAGTAATAGCATTTTTAGAGTTCCTACATAAAATTTAAAATGTTTATGTAAATTTTAAAAATTGGCCAATTTAATATTCTAATTCCTGAACATTGTCAAAATTTGACATTGGCCCTTCTTGTACCAAGCCACAGAATTATTTTGTAGTTAAAAATGTATAACATTTTAAACTTTTATAGCTAAGGATTGAAAATTTAAACAAAGGTTCTATGTAAATAGTTTATATATAAATTACTTTATTCACAATAATATCATCATATTATACATATACTAGGTATTTAGAATTCAGTCTTGGCTCAGAATTGTTTTTCTATTATAATTATAAAAATTATAATAATTCAACTTAACTGACGAACATATTATTAATTATAATAGTTAATTTAGATAATTAAAATTTAACACCATCCATTACAGTGCCTCACTTATAACCTACTGTACAGCAGAGTGAAAACCAACTTGCCCACCTTTTTTTTTTATATATATGTAATATTGTATTTAATAATTATACCACTATAGTTATATTTTATGATAAACTAGGTATATGAAAAGGTTACTATGATTTCTACATAGGGAATTTCCAGTAATAAAAGTTTATTTTACTCTATATTATACCACAAGTAATATCTCATATCTAGTTATATCTAGTGAATAACTTGTGGTACAATATAGAGTAAAATAAATTTTTGTTACTGGAAATTCCTTATGAGAATCATAGTGACCTTTTCATAGTTTATCATGAAATATAAATAATGGTATAATTATTTGAGTAAACAAGATTTAGTCTGCTGAAAGTCACTGAAAAGAATAAGTGTTGTTAAATATTCTATTGACAGTCATTTAAAAATTGTTTGTATTGTATAAAGCATGGCTTTTAACGGCGTTGATGAGCTTTTGGATCACGATTATTTACAAGGTAAGTTCTACACTCCTATTCTATATTATTTTTATAATAAATTGATATATTTAAATGTAACTATGTATTTCAGTATTTAACTACTAACATGGTTAACTATATTTTTAAATTAAAATAAATAAATAATTGATTAGTAATTAATGACTAAATATTTTTAATAATTTGAGTAATTTTACTAATTATATTTTCCATTTAATATATAGTGCAACATGAAGTGATTGAAGTTGAAGCGACTGATGGTACACTGTTTAAAAAAATATCATAAAAGGTCATGTTCAACTATAGAAAAAAAATTTGTTTTTTTTACAGACAATGTTCAGTTTTAGGCAGTAGGTGAACGGCCACATTCATATAGTTTGATACCAGGTGTTCATCAACATGAACATATTATTAAAGACGACCTAAGGTTTCTTAACTTTAAAAGTAAAAGATTAGAAGACAAAGTGTAAGTCTTAAAATATATTAATAAGACTATTTTGCGTTATCATTTGAAATTCAGAGTTAAATTAATAAATTATTTCTTTTAATTTAGGTACTTAAAATGTAAAGAGAGATGCCCAGCCACTGGTTCAATTTCTTCTGATGAAAATAATAAACATTTTCAACTGCGGAGGTTACATGACCATGACGTGCGACCATCAGATACAGAAATGAGGGAACTCCGCAGTTCAATTGGAATTTGGAAATCGATGTGTTCAACAAATTGCTCGGCCATACTCAGCACGATCTTTATATTATGTGGAAGCAATTGTTAGGTAACTTTAAAATAACCATCACATACCTATATAAAATAACTGTTTCAATACTTGGTTTATATATTATATTTTCTATTTTAATTATACTCAACCAAAATAACAAAGGTGGGCATTAACTTGTTAAAAAGTTAAAGTTAAGTTAAAATGTTAATCTTTTTTAATTTTTTAACTAGTTAATTCATTGTCAGTTAATGACAGTTGACAGTTAATCATTGTCATGCAGTTAAGTTAATTTTTTTTTCGTGTCATGCATATTGCATAATCAACTAGACAAAACTGATTCGTTGACACTTTTTCGATTTTGCTAATTAATTTTAAAATTATATTTTTACACAGTGTCAAAAGTCTTGGTAAATATTTGTGTACAACAAAATACTAGGGCATATGACTTAAAAAACTTGAAAAAAAATAAACTTTTTTTTAGTTAAGTTTATTTTATTTTCTATCTTTTCTTTAAACTTATCAAGTTTTTTTTTTTTTTTTTGTTAAATAATTGTACTAATAAACCTAATACTTTGTAGTTTAGTAATTAGTAGCATTTTGTACTTACTTACCTACCCATACATAATTACAGAAATACATAATATTCATTAGTCATTATTCACGTGGTCTTCGTTTCACTAAAATTATTTAGTGATGGTCAAAGGTTGGCAACACCCTTGTAGTCGTATAACCTTAAAATCTAACCGCCGGGCTACCATACAATTTTTCTGACAACAAACATTCTCCGAAGTAGTTTATAATTTCCATCTTCCATGAGCGTCGGTCGAGGCGTCTTTTATTTTACATCGATTCGCCTACAAATCATTGTAAA